CTGGGATGCTAATTTTTAACTGTTGCTTCTAGAGGAAGGCAGGCTTATGTTTCATCTTCAGCAACTCTGAAGCATAACCACCTCTATCTAACCTGTATGTTGCACGTACCTCCGGATTGAAAGATCTGACTCTCAAGGCAGATAGGAAGCCCACTCCAATGATTATATAAGCCAGAAGGAGGCAGTCGTGACTATTAACTGTTCTTAGATCTGTAAGACCTCTATTATGTAAATCAAGATGATTTCTGATTTTCAAGCCCATCCAGCTAAAACAATGATGATGATGATGGTTGGTTCCCTCAAGTCCTAATTTTCCCAACTTCTTGCTGTTTGTCTGACCACCCCTTCTACTTCCAATCTCTATGGCTCTCTAGTTACTCCAATTTTTCAGAGTTGCAAGAGTTTGAAAACTAAGACCTCATACACAGGGATGTCTTCATAGAACACACCCAGACAAAGGAATTCTGGCTAAAATAAACATTGCAGGGTACACCCCAGAAGGTAACACTCTAGAGCAATGGATCCATATAGCCAGTGCTGCTAATATCAAGTCTCAGGTTGTCCTGCTCCAGTAGGCTGACTTTCAAGAGCTGGGAAACAGGTGCCAGCATCAAGCTATTTGTTGCCTGGAGGGAAAGTGGGCCACACTACCCGAACGTCAAGGGCTGGACGCTTTTCTGCTGTTCTTTGTGCAGCTGCCGGGCCCTATTTTTTAGCACCTCAGCCTTAGCTTCATCCTTATCGACACCATCCCCAAGCTTATACATGCGGCTGGCATTGGCGCAGGCCCAGACATGGCCCAGGTCACAAGCTTTCATGGAATATTTACTAGCCAGGCTCATGTCCTTGGGAAAAGCAGGGGTGCCCTGCAGGAACATGACACTGAGGTTGAAGCAGCTAGGGGCATAGCCACCATCACAGGCCTTTGTGTAGTAGTCTCTGGCCTTCCCCAGGTCAGGCTGGCCATCTTCATTGGCCTGTCCATCATGTGCAAGGAGACCAACATTGTGACATGCTTCGACAGACTTCTTTCCTGGTTTCTCACAAGCCATCAGAAAGCAGCTGGAGGCAGCTTTTAGGTCTCGGCTCACTCCACCTGCGAGGAAGGAAAGTAAAGAAGAAAGTAAACCCAAGACAGGGCAGTGCCTAAATGTCTCAGGCCAAAGTCAGGGAGCAACTCCTGAATAAAGTTCATATATTATGAGCTAAGGCAGCATGGAAGGAGCCTGGACATAGTGCACAGACCTTCCATCTTTTTCAACCATGGAAGATTTTGTTCAAATAGTAACTTATGAAGTAGCCCAAACAGACGAAGGTGGCGAAAATTGGGAATATCATCTACTCACGGGGTTACAGCAAGAAAAAGGCATATTGGGTTAACCAGTGGCATAGTGGTTAAGGCAGCTGGATCCCATAGGGCCAACTGCAAGGAGAGTCTTGGGCCTGGCAACTTAAGAAACATGCCAGGAGTGTGAGTGCATGTTCAAAATCCTGACAGGAGGAAGAGATGGAGAGGAACTGTGGCATGACCATTTCTCATAAGGGGATCCTTTCTCACTCCCATCACTCTGCCTCTCTCTCCGGTGGTATATGCACCCTCTGGGGTTTTTTTGTTTTTTTTTTTTTAAAACATCTAAATTTTCATTAATTTAATATATACTAATTATCTACTATCTGCCAGCCACTGTGCAAAGTCCTGGGGAGCAAACAGACATTGCCCTGCCCTTGTGGATCTTATTGTCTAATGAGACTGACATTAAAGAGCCATGTAAATAAATGCTGCTTGTAAGTATGCAAGGGTATTGAGGAAAAAGTAGTGTGCAATAAGGAGTCAGTGCCTTTGGACTAGAGGAAGAGGCCAAGTAAACCTTCCTCAAAGGTGACATGTGAACTTGATACAATTTAAAAAGGGACAGGAAACATGGGTGGGGGATTTAGAGGGCATAGACACAAAGGGAAAGGAAACCATTGTGGCTACAACCTAGAAATACTGGGGGAGGGAGGCTGGAGAGGCACGCGGGGGGCCAGACCATACAGCCAGGATCTGGTGGGTCATGTTAAGGACCCTGGATTTAATCCTAGAGGTGGTGGGAAACTACAGGGTAATTTTAAGGCTCACTCTGCCACTAGATTTTGGTATTTGCCAGCTTTCTGAAACCAATCCCTGCACATATAGAGGGATGGCCTGTGGTTGTATTTTGTTTTTGTTTTTTAATTTCCTATAGGGCACATGCCCACACCAGAGAGAGACAGAGAGAGGGGGAAAGTGAGAGAGCACCCTGCCAGGATGGACAGCCATACAGCAATCCCTTCTCCTCCATTCTCCTTTTGGGATTTTAGGCAGGTACACACACGTGCCTGGCATGTTTTTCAAGCTGCCAAGTCAGGGAATCCAACTACACAGTTGGCTGTGTGAGATGCAGTCACCTCAACAACCACGCCACTGGCTGGCTCCTGTGGTTGTGTTTTAAGGCAGTAAAAGATTATATCATTTGCTTTCTATTAAGTAACTGTACTTAACCCAACATTCACTCTAAATGGATTCTGCTCATCACCAGTCTTTTTTAAAAAGCAACATTTTAAAATGATTTCTTTTCATTTGTTTTCATTGGTAATTGAGTTTTTCTAGAAAAGCTCACATATTCTAGGGTCAACCATGTGGCCTAGCAGTTAAGGGAGCTGGATCCCACATGGCTGGCAATGTGGTTCAAATCCCAGACCTAGAAGCTTGAAAAACATGTGCATGTCTGTCCCAAATCCAGAAAGGGTAAAGAAATGGAGAAGGGATTACAAGACGACTACACCCCATTGGGGGGTGCTCTCTCCTCCTCACTCTCTCTCACTGTCTCTCTGGTGAGCATGTACACCCTCTGGCAAGTTTTTAAAGAGCATATATATTCTCGGGGCCAGCAGGTGGCATGGTGGTTAAGGGCGCTGGACTCCCACATGACTGACCGCAGTTTGAGTCCCGAACCTGGCAGCTTGCTTTCTTGCTTTCTCACTCTTGCTCTGTCCCTCTCTGGTCATATTAAAACAAATACATAAATAAATTTAAATAAAATAATTCTTTAAAAAAGACATATATTATCTATATAAAACATACATATGTAAATATATATAAATATATGTTATATAAATTTATATTATATTTATATATATTTATATTATATATATGTTATAAATATATATATATATTCTTCAGTTCTTTCAGGTTTAAGAATGTATTCCTGGGGTCCGGCAGGTGGTGTGGTGAAGGGCGTTGGACTCCTACATGCCGACTGTGATTCAAGTCCCGAACCTGTAGCTTGCTTTCTCACTTTCCTTCTCCCTCTCTCTCACTATGATAAAATTTAAATAAATAAATAAAGTTAAATAAAATAATTCATATAGCGCATGTGTGTCCAAAATCCCAAGAGAAGAATGGAAGACAAGGGACTGTGGTGTGGCTATCCCCCTGGGAGGTGATTTTTCATTTTCTGTCTCTCTGGCGAGTCCATGTGCCCTATGGCAAAAAATCTCTCTTTAAAAAAAAAAGTATTCCTGTCACTTTTATATGTAAACACTATATATATAGTTGGGTCTTTTCTTTTATAGCTAGTCTGACCATCTCTGCCTTTAATGGATAATTACTTACATTTTATGTAATTATGGCTATAGCTGGGTTTAAGCCTACAATCTCACTTGCTTTCTCTTTGTCCCAAACACTTTTCTTTCCTTTCCTGACTTCTTTTGAACTGCATAATTCTTTTTCTTTTTTTTTTTTTAAAGAGAGGTTTTCGCGGGAACCAGCAGTTAGCGTAATGGCTATGGCGCTGGACTCCCACGTAGTCGACCGCGGTTCGTGTCCCGGACCCGGGGGCTTAAAACTCACGCCGGGCGCGTGTGCGTGCGTGCCCAAGATTCCGAGAGGAGAATGGAGGAGAAGGGATTGCGGCATGGCCATCCCCCCTGGGGGGTGATTTCTCACTTTCTGTCTCTATGTCTCTCTCTGTCTGTCTGGCGAGCGCACGCGCCCTACAGTGAAAATCTCTCCAAAAAAAAAAAAAGAGAGAGGTTTTCGCTATAGTATGTGGACACAGGCCAGAGAGACATAGAGAGACAGAGATATAGAAAGTGAGAAATCAGCCCTCAGAGGGGATGGCCACACTGTAAACCCTTCTCCTCCAGTCTCCTCTCAGGATTTTGGGCACACACCAGGCATGAGTTTTAAGCCACCAAGTCCAGGACTTGAACGGTGGTTGACTAAGTAGGAGTTCAGTGACATAACCATTACACCATCTGCTGGTCCCTGAACTGCATATTTCTAATATTCTATTTCATTTTCATCATTTGGTTTTTAGTTGTACCTTTTTTTTTTAATTGTTTATCTAGTGATAATATGTATCCTAAACTTAACACCACCTACCACAAACTAGTATACCACTTTAAATGCAATGTAAGAGACTTCAACATTATGTTTTCATTTGCCAGAATTTCACCTTCTATGCTACTGCTACCATGTGCTTTGTTTCACTTCTTTTAATTTTGAAATTTTTTAGGTTTTTGCCATAGGGTGCGTATACTTGCCAGAGACAGACAGAAAAAGAGAAATCACCCTCCCCTCCCCCCAGGGAGAATGGCCACACTGCAATCCCTTCTCCTCCATTTCCTCTCAGGATTTTGCATATACATGACATCCGCCTGCTGATTTTCAAGCCATTGGGTCCAGGACTCAAATCATGGTTGGTTGGTCACATGGGAATCCAGTTCCTTACCCACCATGCCCCTGGTGGCCCTTTGCTTAAAGTCTTTTAAAGGCATTAAACTGGGGGGAAAGAAAAAGAAAGGCATTAAACGAGGGGAAAGTCTTATACATCGGCTTTCTGGAAGCTCTAAAGAAAAAAAATTTAAGTCTTACATTTATCCTTTTATCTGGATCATAATTTACATCTTTTATCATTTTCCCTCAGACTAAACAACTTTCTTTAGCATTCTTTGTTGTGTACATCTGCTAGTGACTCATTCTCTCAGCTTTTATCTGAGGATTAATTTATTTCATCACCCTCATTTTTAATTCATTTTCATTCAAGTTTGACTTTTTTATTTTCAGCATTTAAAATATGTCACTCTTTTGTCTTTATACTACTTCTGATAAGAAGTCAACGGTGATTCTCATCATAGGTCCTTGGAGTGTGTCTTTTTTTCCCTTTATCTTGGTTTTCACCAACAGACAATAATGTGTCTGTGATTTTCTTTGCTTGGATTAACTGAGTTTCATGGAAAAGTGAAGCCAGGGCTCTGTGGATAATATTTTCCAGCTGTTATTTTGGTCTTTTTTTTTCATTGCCAGAGGGCTTGTGTACTTGCCAGAGATGAACGAGAGACAGTGAGAGGGCAAGAGCACCACCCCAATGAAATGTGGTCACACTGCGATGCTTTCTACTCCATTTCTCTATCCCGTTAGGATTTTTGGCATACATGCACCACACTCAATGTGTTCTTCATGCTGCCAAAACAGAATTCAAACGAGGGTCAGCCATGTGGGATCTGGCTCCTTTAACAAGTAGGGGGCCAGTCCCTTTTTATGTAGTTTATAAGTTTATTTATTCTTTCCATGAGGAAGAAAGAGAGAGCACCCTTGACAGGGTCTTTTCTTTAAATTGGCATATATGCTCAAAATCCTGATGGGATGAAGAAATGAGGAAAAGGAATTGTGGCATGACCACACCCCACTGAGGGCTGCCTTCTCTTCCTCTCCCTCTGGCAAGTGCACATGCCCTTTGGCAATTAAAAAAGAAAGAAAGAAAGAAAGAAGACCAGCAGTTGTTGTAATAGCTATGTCGTTGGACTCCCATGTAGTCTATCTACCGCGGTTCAAGTCCTGAACCTGGTGGCTTAAACTCATGCCGGGCGCACGACTGGGTGCATGTATGTACATGTGTGCCCAAGATCTCAAGAGGAGAATGGATTACAGTGTGGTCATCCCCCTGGGGGGTGATTTCTCGCTTTCTGTCTCTCTGTCTTTCTGGCAAGTGCACGTGCCCTATAGCAAAAACTTCTACAAAAAAAAAAAGAAAGAAAGAAAAGAAAATACTTATTAAGCTTCCCAAGTATAAC